TCTCCTCATTGGTGCGCTCCTCTTAACTGCCCCAAAAAGAACGGCGCACCGGGAAGGCACAGATTTCGGCTTCTGAAGCTTTTTAATGGCATCCTTCAGCCCTTCAAGAACACATGAGCTCAAATAGTTCTTCATGAGTAATAAATGTATGGAAGAAGTTGGACCGTTCAAATGGGCGGTTGTAAAAGTGACGGTTTCAATTCACGTCATATGGAACTGGTATAAACGACAAATATTAATGTAGAAACATAGAGATTAAATCGCTAGTCAGTACAAAGCCAAGCCCCGAAATTATATTTTGATTTTATTCAGTGTTTACTTCGTCGGGGGGAATATTTACCACTGTATGTGAATTTCCTGTATATAAAGGTTTTTCATGAAAAACAAGAGTCACCGCACTCAATGCTGCTCCTGCTAGAGTTACTGGTTACCATTTCGGTCATTTCTGCTCAGGTAATTGCAATTTATATTTGAGTCCAACCATTTGAAAATAACAAGTAATGGTTTCAGCCAGGAATCGGACCACCATATCAGCCACCATCGAGTCAGCCCCCGACTCCTCCACGCCCACCAACAAGACGAACCTCTCCTCCACCTGTAACCCTGTACACTCCGCCAGTAACCTCACCACCGTATCAAGACACATCATCACTACCATACTGTAATCCAACGCCATGTAACTGTCCCACAGCGCCAACTCCTGGGACTCCACCTTATTCACCACCTCCTGGGACTCCACCTTATTCACACCTCCTGGGACTCCACCTTATTCAGCACCTCCTGGGACTCCACCTTATTCATCACCAGGTCAAAACACTTTGTTAGATTTCCTTGCTTCACTAATAAACCTATTCCTTCCAGGAACACGAACTTCGGGTCCGCCTACTCCTACTCCGTTCACTAGAACTCCGCCTACTCCTCCTTACTCTGGAACACCGCCTACTCCTACTCCCTTCACTAGAACGCCGTCTACTCCTCCCTACACTCAGCCTACACCAACACCAACCCAGTATGTGTCGCCAACACAAACACGGTACAGCCCTCCTGCAACAACATCTACCCCTGGATATTCTCCTTCACCAACTCCAGCCAACTATCCTACCCAAACCTCGCCTCCAGTGACCCAGTATACACCTCCGCCTACTCAGTACACTCAACCTCCTCCTGGTGGTGCAGTGACAAACCAGCAAATGCAGGTGTGTGGAGTTTAGTCATTCTTGCAATAACTGAAGGGGCGGAGAAGTGGGCGGAAAATCTTAGCTACTGTATTCTCTTTGCTGGCGCACCTCTTCTCATAACCGCATTGGAAAGAGGAAAGACACAGGACAGAGCAGTGGCAGAGAGTCTCCGCCTACTTGTCCGCCCATTCGATCACCGCATTATGTGTCTTTAAGTAAAGCGTTCAGCATTTCTGAATACTGCTTGTTTACCTCCTCAATTTTTTCGCATTTTTTTCCGAGTGTGAACTTGTAAACGATGCGAGTGAAATACTAGTTAT